AAAAAAAGAAAATTGATATAGCATACTATGGGGTTTTGGTAATTAGCTACTGAGATATAAGGTGTTTTGTCTAGAAAAACCTGCCACTTCGGCAATCCCTCAGTCCGCCATTTTGAAATTTATATCAAAAAAAACTTAAACACCTCAGCTTTTATCTTATTTGTTACTTTTTCTAATTTTAATTTTTGCTCATACAGGGTGGTCAAAAACGCAAATTGTAGTTTTTCTCAAACATTTAAAATGCATCACCCTGTATGTTTGTGCAAGTTTGGATTCAATTTTTTATAAGCTTTTTTTATACTAGACACATAAAGGTTTTTATCGCTATTTTTTCAGTTATTAGCACGCTTTTATGGAACGGCTTAATTCTGTACTAAAGTATCGTGTCATCCTTGAAAACAAATAAATTGTTGATTAGTTACAAACTGTCAAAATTAGCTTTGTGAGCATTAAGTATAATAAAAACGTGTTTGAAAATGACTTTTTCTAAAGAAGAAATGGTGAATCTGGTGTTTGTTTTGGGCGAAGCATTTCGCATTTATTAGCAACGGTACCCTAATATGCGACATCCAAGGCCGGAAACATTTTCCACACTACGAGAACGTTTTGAATCAAGTGGAGCAGTGGTATAAAGTAAAAAATGTATAAATAATCCAAGTGTCACCAATGTGAGGCGAATCAGTTGGAGGTTCTATTAAAGTTGCAGGAAAATCCCCATTTAAGTGCACGGCAAATTGGAGCAGAAACTGACATATGCAGAACTTCTGCCCAAAGGATTATTCACAATCATATGTACCATCGATATCAGCTATGCTTGCATCAAGGCCTTCGTCCTCAAGATTTCGCAGCTCGAATGGAGTTTAGTAGAATAATGCTAAATAAAGTGAGTGAAGATACTACTTTCCTGGATAAGGTTTTTTTTAGCGATGAGGCAACTTTTAACAGCATAGGTGTTGTCAGCAGGCATAACATGCACTATTATGCGACGGAAAACCCTTATTGGGTTAGGTAAATAGATTTCCAAAATAAATGGAGATTGAATGTTTGAGGAGGAGTTATTGGCAGACAAGTTATCGGGCCTTCCTTTTTGGAGAACAAATTAACAGAAAGAGAATACTTGAATTTTTTGATCGAGCATTTGCCTTTGCTTTTGGAGGATGTCAACCTGCAAACTCGGATGCAATGTACTTCCAACATGACGGCGAACCTGCGCATTATCATAATCGTGTGCGTAACTATTTGGTCACCTGTAGTAAAAATTGTTGGATCGGTCGTAATGGGCCTATATCTTGGCCTCCTAGATCATCAGATATGACACCCATGGACTTCTTTCCATGGGGCTATGTTAAGCAAGAGGCTTATAGATATCCACCATCTACCTCGGAAAATATGAGGGAAAGGATTAAGGATGCTTTTCTGAACATAAGGGGACACATGCTGAGGGATATCCAACGGTCATTTATCCAAAGACTACGGCTGTGTATTCAATATGGTGGAGATATTTTCGAGCAGTTTTTGTAGATTAGGTCTTGAGTAGTGATAGTTGTTTGTTTATGGTGTTGTTACAGTTGTTTTTCTCTATTACGCTTGAAGCTGATTTATACTGTTCTGATTGTTATTAGTTTTTACGTCAAATCTGTAGTCTTAGTGGCAATATGGAACTAGCCCATTGTTTGTGTTTTATTTCCATGGATGATGTAATTTTTCTCCATAATTTTGGTGTGTTGTCCTATTAAAAGCTTAATAACTCAAAATATAGTGATTTTATCTGAATCAAACCTTATACGAAAAAAAGCTTATAAAAAATTGAATCCAAACTTGCACAAATATACAGGGTGATGCATTTGAAATGTTTCAGAAAAAGTACAATTTCCGTTTTTGACCACCCTGTATGAGCAAAAGAGAAGAAGTAACAAATAACATAAAAGCTGAGGTATGTAAGTTATTTTGATATAAAATTCAGCACCTCAAATTTCAAAATGACGGATTGAGGGTTTGCCGAAGTGGACGTTTTTTCTGGACAAAACACCTTACATGTCAGTAGCTAATTACCAAAACTCCATAGTATGTTATATCAATCTTCTTCTTTTGAATTGGTTTATCCAAATATGCAATAACATTTGAGGCATACCTTTTAAAAAATCAAAGCTTTGATATGTAGGTCAAAATTGGGACACCCTGTACAATTGCCAATATTTTAGAAATGTACCCTCGAATATCATGTATAACACGCCATAAATAGATTTTCCCAAAGTGTATTTGTTTATGGTTTATGAGTAATATTCCGTCCACACATGGATGGGCCACCCTGTATACATACTCACGCGCGAAAAACATCACTATCCTTTCGAGGCTGTCGGGTGGAAACACAGTGTTTTTAGTCTTGCAAGGGCTGCTAACACCAGAGCCGGTTCTAGAGGGATATTTTGAGGAGATAATAAAAATAAAATGGAGAAACGAAAATTGTAGTGCGAGGGTGGTAATTGAAAATTGAAGAGCTGGTGGTGACGGGGGCTTCGTTAGTGCTCGGAGGGCGATTGCCCTTGTGACAATTGGGAGCGTGTGGTACACGAGCGGTGAAAATTGAAGAGCTTTTGGGGAAGGGTGACCGGTGGCGGTAGGTTCCTTAGTGCTCCTGAGAACAAATGCACTTACAACTAAAATTTTCTGCATATATGTGTATTTGTCTTCTTCCAGTTATATTTTTTTAATCCCTCTCAGCCACCTGGTGAACACTTAATTTTTTACCTAACAATCTGCCCACATTTCACTTGATCATATTCGCATTCACTGCCTCAAATTACCTGAGTATGCAAAGTGTTGCGTTTGTAGCAACAGAAAAAAAAATGAAAATATTGCGCTACCGAAATTACTACATTTTTTTAGATTCATTATGAAAAAATGTTCAAATAGTCCGTCGTATCTGCGATCTGGACGAAAACCCATCTCCTAGGTACCTAAATCGGGTGCATAGATTCCGAATCCGGCGTCATTTTGACGCTAGCTTCTACTAAAAGGAGAAGGAGGAATTCAAAATGAGTACAGCGTGACAAGCACTGTGTCCAGCAATGATTCTTTAATTAGACTCCATAGCTTTGACACATGGCATTGCGTGTAGCTTTCTGCTGTTGGATTTGTGGTTCCTAGTATCTGAACCTGTAGCCTTGCCAGGCCTTCACAGCGGCACAGGAGGTACACTGGGGCTTCCTCATGCTCTCTGCAGAAACGGCATGTGACGTCTTCTGCCAGACCCAAGAGCCTCATATGTCGACTTAGACGACAGTGTCCTATCAAGAGACTCAGTTTGGCCCTTATGGCCTTCCTATTGAATCCGAGTAGGTCCTCTGTACATCAAGCCTTCGTTCTTTGGTGAAATCTTTTGCCTGCCTTTGTCTTAACTGGATTCTAGGAACTTTTTCTTGGTCAAATTCCTATGGACCATTTAGTGCGTGTTCTCGTCACGCCACAGAAAATATCTGGACCTATAAGGTCCTATCGGGCTAGCTCATCCGCCTTTTCACTGGCGCTCCCACGGCGAGGGGGGGTAAAGGGGTTAATTAATAATAAATAAAAAATGAGAGACGGAAAATTGGAAATTTAATATAATTTCAATTTTCCGTGTTTGGTCCATACTCCAGCTATCATTTTCATCTATGTCTATTTTGTCTCGGAAGTCCCTGTATATAAGCACTTCAGTGCATTTCGTTCGTCCGAGATGAAAAATTTTATATTTAGTTTTTGAAAATTGCGTGAACTTAAGAAACCTTGTTTTCCAAACAGAAAAGGTTCTTTGTTATGAGATACGTGAATACGTGGAAACCAATAATGCCGTTTATTTAATAATAATAATAATTATTATTACCCTCACTAAACAGTATATAAAAGTTTACAAACAAAAAGCCTTAAGAGAATAAAAAACTACATCAGCTTGCCCCTTAAAGAAGCAGCTGCTAGAGCCAAAAAGACAATATTTGTGTAACTTTTAGTGTTGGTTGACGGCTGCTGTTGTCAGGATGAATAAAAGGAAACAGAATACCATCGATTGGTTCCTTTTTAAACAAAACAAACGGTCTGATCCACCGGCACAAGAATTACCGGAAAAAACTGATGATAATCCTACAATTCAACCTAAGCCTTCCACTTCAAAATTTCTTGATATTGCACCGTATTCTGAACCAAGTGTTTAACAATCGGGTGCGAAACCTAAAGGATCCAATTTTGTTGATGTTGCGCCATATGTAAATTTCAGCGGCAACTTGTCTTCCCATGAAAAATAAACCTTATTGAGGTGTGCAATGATCCCTAATGACTCTGTTAAATATCCCTATTCCACACACTTGAAAAATAACAAAGAAGTGTAATGCTACTTATCAGAAAAACACTTAGAGAAATTTCCTTGGCTGTCATATTCAGAGGAACTACAAGGGCTTTTCTGTAAATATTGCGTGGTTTTCCTATACGAGTACAGGTTTAGACGATGCTTGCGATGAATACCTGCCTGTCTGAACAGATCGCGATCGACTGATTTGCAGTCTTAATCCTTATTAGCTCGCTTGCGCAGACTTGTATATGTCAGTTACTTCAGCCTGAAATATTGTTGCGACATTACCTAGTTTGGTAGAGACCTCGGTTTTTTACTTGTCCCATAAATCCTAGCACTAGCTCCGCCTTCAGTTTTCAAGCCGACTATACACCAGTAGCTTTTGGCATGTACGAATATAGGTCCTTTCCCTGGCTGCTTCCTTTTTGATACTACTGTTTAATCGAAATTGTACACTGGGACAGTTGTGTCCGTGGGCATTACCAATAAAGGATGTGCCTTCAACTCTGGGTACAGTTCTTGGTGGTCCTTTCCGTACTACAAACTGATGATCGGTGATTGGCCTTGAGTTAGTCTGTGAGCCACGGAAAGACCATTACCCTAAATATATATGTGTTAATGGTGGTAGGTTGGGAAGGACCTCCAACCCTTCAGTGGTAAAATGAGTAAGAGTAAATACTATTATAACTTGTCAATTCCAACAGTTTATTTGTTCAAGACAGTAATGTAACAAAACAATGATTACTGATAAATATTATTTCAATTCTCTCATTACAATGTCACAAAAATATAAGGATGAGAATCCTTTGTCGAAGCTTCCAATAAATTGACCAGCATCTCCTAAGACTTAGAGGAACGTCGGGTATACTGTACCGGTTTTTAAATTATTGTATCACCTCAATATTCTCTAAACTACTTTCTAAAGCTAACTCTTTAGCCTATTTGAGTCCCATTGACATCAATATGTAATAAGTAATAATAATAAGTTTCTGGAGACGTGTTTTCGCAGTAAGAATTAAATAGGTAAGCTTGTGTGTCCAAATAAGCAGTCTGCTAGTTGAGGTGGCATTTTTCGTAATTGTTGATTATTTTACAAGATCTTTGGCAGGTAAAATTTAACCCCTAACCTCAGTTTATTAGAAGGAAATAAAAATTAGTCTTAACCAAACCGGTTCGGTAATTTGTATCACAGTTTGGTCTGTTGAATTGTACATGAATATCTTATAGGGGATATAGTCAGGTACAAACAATGTGTAATACTTGCGATATTTGTTCTTAAATTAAACAAATATTGTCAATTATTTGTTATGATAATATTTCTGTTTTACCCAATGTGCTCCAAATCGGTGATTTAAGTTCAATGAATGACACTTTTTGATTTAGACTGATATCTTAAGTTAATTCGTTATGGTACTGATTTGCCTCACCACATTTATGATATATGTGTGTAAGTTGGCTAATCAATTCGTTTAATTAACAATGATAAGGTAAAATTTAGGAACCGCGTGTGGTATAATTTAATGAACCCGTTCGATAGATTTTGTTTCGTTTGCAACATTTTTTCAAAAAGTTCATTTTAAACCCTCAGTATTTGCATACGTTTTAAGCTATGCATTTTAATGAAAACATGATAAATTATTTTACTTTGAATTCCCGTTCAATTCAAGTAAGCCATTAACGAGTTATTTCACAAAATCTGCTATATGGCACAATTTACCCAACTTTGCCCTAAATATTACCGAGACATTTCTGGGCAGTGCAATACACTGTGTCGTGAAGTGATTCAATAAAAATATGACATATTGACTTGAAACAAAACAAGAAAAGATGCATGATAATATAATTGTTATCAACATCTAACAACACAACTTTTTAATGCATCCTTCACATTTCTCGATAGTCAAAAAAGGAATCTACTTATTGCCTAATGCGTAATATCGATAAAACTTCTTGTAACTCCAATTAACAAACAAAAAAATAAATAAATGAACTTAATTTTAGATACACTACTTTCTGTCTTGATCAACGAATTCAGACTAGGTAGAAGGAGTAAATCAAGGATTTGTTTGCCTCCTAATGCTCATAGTCTGTAGTAGTAGGGAGCAAAGTGCACATGTCAATTTTTTGACAGTTATGTCATTAAATTAACATTTTTAGTGTTATTTTTAAAAGTGCGAGTGTTTGCAGATAATTGTAATGTTAGACGATTTCAGGACATGGCACTTCTTACAAAATTTCCAAAGGGCGGCACACGCCTAATGAAGGTAGATGTTTCCACCGATTAGTATTATTACTATGTTGATGCAACGGTGTCACTTTGGTAGACAAACGAGTCATAAGTATGTTTTAAAACTAGGCAATTTTGGTGACAAACAAAGCAATGCAAACATATAGGGTGGGCTTCTTCTAATCTATTCGAATTCGTTGGTCTTGATGAACAAATAATTTATTATAAATTGGATCCCTAGAGATTCCAAAGTCCGCATAATTTTGTATACCAACGGTACTTGTTCATACGCTCATTGAAATCGCTAGGAGTCAGGCTCTCATAATCGTACTATGATAAATATAACTGTGCTTTCATACATAGGATATATCTACTTCTGTTTTATTTCTGCCTTTTATAAAATATCTTTAACAACGTGCTAAAACTTTAAACTGTAATCAGAGACGTGACATCACAAATAACTAAAGCTTTAATGCAGAATCTGTTGCCTTTCCATTTCTATTTAACATTATATTTTTTGATCTGGTTAGCATGCTCCTTTATCGCAGGCTTTTTACTGATTAGTTACTTAATTTACTGATTGTTGTGTACAGATTCTTAGCACTACATACATACTCTGTATTAATAGTATAGTTTTCTGTGACTACGCCCTGTAACTAATGCACCACATATATTGCTAATATTTTAATATTATAAAATTTTCAATATGTTATTATAAAATCTCCATGATCCCACGTTCTGTATAAATGTAACTCACTGGGACTTTTCCTAGCATCTATGCTGTCCTAAATCCTTGTTATGAGGATTTCTGTATATGGCATACCTTGTTTTTTAAAACAGATGAAAACGCATAGCGTTGCTACAAGAGGGAGCTATATAAAGTATTTTATTGGCTTGCATCATCCGAAATATGATGCTGCAATTTTTGTTTCCAAAGCCGTTACTGCTTTTTTTTCTGATAATTAATACATAAATATTATGGTTACCACTAATAACACAATACCTCTCATCAACACTAACTTCGTTTCGACTTTTACGTCATTATCATCTGTGAGGATGGCTGCCATATCCAATTTTATTTGTTTATACCGAAGCAGCCGCGCAAGCGGAATCCTAAATGCCATGACATCGCGGCTGCAATGAGGAGAACTGGGAAAAGCATCCTCAGGTAGATTGTTCCACAATCACTATGCCCTATGAACAAAGGAGCCGCCATATCGGCCACTTCTGACACGGTGAGGATAGGAGAACAAATTCAGCCATCCTGGAGAAGAGCTCTGAGGAGCAAAGCCCGTTGGCGTAGCGGTAGAAGAGAGCTAGATCGCGGACGGCCCTTTGGTGCGGAAGGGTTCCGGGACTGTCCATTAGGGAAGAGTCATCGATCAGTCAAACAGCCCTCCTCGGCATCGAGCATGCATAATGTACCCGGAGAAAAGCACCTCGAAACATGTGAGCAGTACTCGAAGCTAGGTCTTATCTGGACATTGTACAGAGTGAGAAGGTCTTGTAGGGCAAAGTACTTCACAAATAGCCTAGCTTTTTCCCAGAAGCGGTTGCTATTGATGAGCGTGTGTGTGCTAAATCAAGACCTCGGTGATCTGGACTCCGAGCAGCCGAAATGAACGATTCTTTGTCACAATAAGAATTGCTTCGTCATCTTCTTCGCGTATACCTTACAAGTCTTCTACATTTTGTGTTCCTCACTGAATTACTAAATGTTTTCCCCCAATGTTGGTCCAATCCAAGGAACCTATGTACACGAAAATTCCAACAAGCAGATTGAGAACCAAATGGAGTTTAGTGGAATATCATGTAAATCCTAAAAGGTATGCTTTATATAGAAACCAATATTCTCCCGGGTGAACTCACATCTAAATCACAAAAAAAGAAAAAAATATGCTAAAATTACAAAAATGCTAGACACAATATATTCAACAAAAATAGATTGACACCGAAGATATGTTATTTTTTCACAATCAAACCGTGAGCAGGGAAACTGTTGTTCTTCTAGATTTACGATTAACTTTATACTAACTATAACAAAAATATGGTATCAGGTACGTGATAACAAACAAACACCTAATCACTAAGTAGGGATGGATTGCTTAAGCAGTGTCACTAGAATTGAAATGCAATGGTACATTATCTGATCGCCATATCGCCTATTAAAATTAAAACAGGGCCTTCAGAAAGTAGCATACAGCGAAAACCAAGTTTTTCTGACAGCTTGAATTCAATGTGTACCTGAGAAGTGTGTAACAACACATGTTGATGTGACGCAGAAGGTCATGCAATCTGCCGCGTTGCCAATATGTTACACCAGACAGCTTCTAAAATAGGTTAAGTTACTGTCAAACCCAAGAAGGAGGTATGTTCGAACCTATAATTCAATATTTTGTTTTTATTTTGATTAGAACTATTTATTTCAATTTTAATGCGACTTAGTGTTTTAATTTACTCCAGCATTATCTTTGATTTCCACCGATGGTGATAAAATCAACACATTCTGAGTCATTGTTACATTTCGCAACAGCGAGAGATGTAACAAATACCATTACGCAATATGAATTTTCACTGCCTGTGTGTACGCAGGTGAAAACTATATCGAAGCAGGACGACAATCCCCATTGAGCGCTAGATGGGAACTGAGCAAAATCGGTCATCTATGATCATGTGTGACAATCGTGACCTTTCATTTCGACCTAAAATGGAGCGCCATTAGGACCGATCCGGAATCGATCCTAAACCGATTTGACACAATTCACAATTCAAAAATGTGTACGCTCAAAATAAAACAATTATTTGGGCATAGAGAATAAACTAACGCATATTTTCAACATGTATCTTAATTCAAGGAACTGGTGTAACATATTGGCAACGCGGTACATCGCCGCGCCAGCTTCTATCTCTGTCTAACATATGTGTCTATACACACTTCTCTCCCGTACACATTGAACTCACGCCGTCAGACAAATTTGCTTCTCAGTATATACGAACCCCTTGATATATTCGTTTAGTGACTGCATTTTGGAACAATATAGACATTGTTCGTTAATATTTTGAGTTTGGAAAATGTAGTCTTACATCAGTTTCATTCATTTCTTCGAGAAGAGTTTTAACTATAATATCTCAACAGACCATGCACACGATTTGCACTATCAGTTCCAAATAATGCACCATTTAAAAATTCCAATATTTGTAATTATTTACCTACTATTATCACGACAAGTTTGATATATCACAACCTGTTATTTGTCCAATTGCCATCATCCTAAACTTACCCTTAAATTTTTAATTGCTCAATGAATAATTATTATTTTTATATTATAATACACGTTATTGCATATTTAGTAGCTGAACATGTATTTCCTATAGTTTAATATAATTGGCTAAGGCGCGATTATAAAGCGTGCTACTGCTACATGTTACAGCCAACAGGCATTTTTTCTATCACATCATGATGTGGTTTTGGTTTTATAAAAATACTTTCTACAACAATTAGCGTTTGAGCTGTAATACATTCACGCTTTATTCAAATTGCCTGACCGTCATATGTCATAGCAAATTTGGGCGCTCGATCCCCGAGTTCCTAACTTTCTATTAATTTGTATAAAAAGATAGAGATACAAGCTTGAACACCACTAGGCCCGATCGTATGGATAATTGTATACAGGGTGTCGCCGATTAACATGTCAATATCTCGTATCTACCAGAACCATTGCCCGAAGCAGAAACACAACGGGTTGAATTTTGAAGAAGGTGCGAAGAGGATGAAACCTTCTTCGACAGCATCTTATGGACAGATGAATCCAACTTTAACCGAAATGGAATATCCAACATGCACGATTTCCATTCATGGAGCGTGGAAAATCCTCACGCTATTCGCCGACACAGCTTTCAACGTTAGTTGGGCGTTAATTCATCGACTGGTGTACTCAACAAAAAATTAATCGGGTCATATGAATTTCGCGTCAGGTTGAATGGTCAGTCATATCTTGATTTTCTACAAAGCAGTTTGCATGAGCTGGTAGAGGATGTATTTTCAATGCGGTGGTGACCCATGCCACTTTGCACGGGATGAACGGCATTACTTAGACAGTGCCTTTCCTGGGCGTTGGATAGGTAGAGGTGGACACATACAATGGCCTCCAAGGTCACCCGATTTAAATCCTCTAGATTTTTATAAGGGGGTTTTATAAGGGGATAATCTATACATCATTTTTTTAACGCACTTGAAAGTTGAGGGATGGAAAAGATTTTTCACAAGAAAATGAATTTAAGATTTTTTGCGTTGATATCTACATGTAATAAGCTCAGTTAAAAAGTGGCATAACCATTGCTAAAACTAACCTTTTAGCTCATCTCAGAAAAAAGTCACAGCCCTAAACCTAATTAGTTGTAATTGCGGTTAAAAGTTCATTATCCCGTGTTTTTTTCGAAATTTCACAAAATCTCAAATATCCTCTGAACTATAAAATTTCGGACCACACATATAGGGGTTCATTCGATAAGTTTTGAGGCCCTCTATCACCTGACTTCCGTTGATCCACTACTAACCTTACATCCTGTATATCACAATGGCACTACGATAACATTTCTCGAAAGCTTTATCTTTAAGCTGAACAAATGATAAAACCGCTCTTGTTTCTGTACAGTTCTATTAATTTTGACACTTGAAAATGTTGTAACTCTGATAACAGATTCCTAATTAGCGACTTGTTATTTTATCGACATCAAACAATCCATTGACACTAACTGGTCACTAAGCTATCAAAAATTCGTTGAAGTTACAGTGGCGATCAAAAGTTATCAGTGGAAAACCTATTTACACTAGTGTTCATATATTCCGTAGCAAATTTGTGCTCTATACCTATACGAGAGATTGACATTATTCTGGGACACCCTATATATTTCGAAAGAGTTAAGACCGAAAGATAAAATAAGCAAATTTTCACCGTACAAACAGTGATCTAATGAGGAACAACTTTAGCATGTTAGCATGTTGAATCGCCAATTTTTTAAAAAACCTCGCGAAGTGTTCATCCGCAAATCGTGACAATCGGACAACAATTACTTGAATGAGCTTCACGAGGTTCTCATTTAATCTGTGTTGTCAGAAACCTTGCTATGTGTGATCAAGCGCCCATGTTCTTTTTGATGCGGAGTTTTAATGTGAACTTTTTTATTTGCAACAAATAAATTGATCGAGAATGAATATTGACCAGAAAAAAGAAAAAGAAAACGCAATATTGCTTCTCTTCTAACCGGAAGGTATGTATGTACCTATTTATTTATTAGTCTTCATACCACACGTATAAATATATAATTATGGTAGGTAATTCAACACTCGATATGTTTGACATTCACCAAAGAATTGCATCATATGAAAAAATATTTCTTAACCATCATTTTAATAAATATGTATGAAGACATTCAAGACATCGCATACGTGCAAGAATATGTTATAGAAGACATGCGTCCTCTTCTTTTTCTTATTCTTGTCTCTGGTCAATTGCTCAAAGTTTTCATCGATAATAAAGTATGACATACTGCATGACATCTAAACTGATTTAGCTACAATTTCAATGGCATTTTCATAATACTAATATGATTTAACAAAAAAATTATCGACAGGTTTGGACGAACATTATGTACTCTGGACATGTAACTACTTTTCTTACTACCTGAAATCAATTATCTAATCTAAACAATTACATTTTTGATATAAATATAATGGACGAGTTTTCAGTTGTCTCTATGATCCATTAGTTTAGGGACCTTCCTAGAAAATGAAACTGGTTTGGTTGGCTCAGGAATTAGCAAAGAAAAATTATAAGGCTCAACAATCCTCTAAGGCTTAGAGAAAAATAAAAAGCAAACCAAAACGATCGCTAGAGTCATGTCCTATTTTTGTGAATTTTAACATTTATGTTTTCCGAAAAACGAACACAAAGTTATGCAAAACTGCCCTTAGTTCCAATAAGAGAAGGCTATGAAAAACAAAGCTGAAATCAGTAAATGCTAGCCACAGCCCCATATTCCTTTTGTTCTTCATCAGCGAGAGCCCATTATCAAGTATTATTATTATATATAATATTTCGACCAATAGTGTTTAAAAATCTCTTTAACCAGATCTTTGCCGAAGACTTTTCTTATTCTGGGTGGATTATTCCAAGACATTAAAATTTTCATAATAAATATTATAAAATACTACTGATTCTTAAACGAATGTGTCATGAACAACTCCAAACTGGTGATGTACTCCAGGTACGAATGATGCATTGAAAGGCTATAAATCATGGTCATCCTCTTTGAGAGCCAGGGGTACTGACACGACCCTGGCGACGGTACTACGACGTTTCGGAGACACTGGAGGGGTGTTAAATGGACTGGAAGGGGCTGTTAGGGCACCACCCCCTTCACTACTGCTAGCGCCTGCTGTCGAGATGTCTACGCGGGATGATGATCTTGAAGGTGGAGCGGAACCTACAGAGAATTGACAAATACCATAATATTATTCATTTACTCCTAAAATACAATATAAATAACGCGTAAATAAACACGAAACAAGGAAGCATTGCCTGTACATGGACCATTAATGATGCAAATGGGCATATTATTTGAATATGAATAAGGATACAACTAATCAACGAATTATTTGATATTTACATTTACTATTAATTTGTGTACGTCTGGTCTTGTCAGAGAAAGAATCCATTCTGTTAATTTATTCTTGAAATTATTCCCAACCGGTAGGCCTCTTATATCGTCAGGTAAATTTACGTATAATTTTGGACCTACTAATTGTTTATGTCTTGTGTCATTTTTCAGACGTTATTAATAAATTTGGTTATAGTATGCAAGGGATAAAGCTGTTTTAAGTCATATACGTGTATATCTTTGTACAGGGTGGCCGATATGTAACTGACTGGTTTGTATCTACGTCCATTTTTTTCATCTTAATCTTTTATTGATACTTAGAAATTATGTATGAAAAATAATATCAAATTTCCGCCTCTAAAAGCCGCGCAAACCGTAGCCCTCTTGATTACATTTTCCATCACTTCTTGATAGGTTTCAGGAGGAATATTTTCAATCGCTTCCGTAATATTGTTCTTCAGCTGCTCTACAGTATTTGGTTTGTTGGCAAGTTGCTTCGTCCTACTGGAACCACATGTTTTACAGGTTAAATTGTTGGATTTGAGGAGCCAGAAAGTTTTGCACCATATCACGGTAGCACTCGCCAGTGACAGTAAGAGAATTACCTGCAGCGCCTTCAAAGAAGTAACGTCCAATGACACCTCCATACCAAACACCGCACCAAACTGTGACTTGACGAGGATGTAGTGGTCGTTGATGGATGACACGAGCGTTCTCTAATGCCTAGATATGACAATTCTGCTTATTAACTAATCCGTTCATATCGAAATGGGCGTCATCGCTCATTATCAGTTGTCGATAAAAATCGTTATTTAGGGTATTAAGATGCAAATTGCATGACTGTATAGTCGGCGACTCTCATGGTCACTAGGCTGTAGTTCTTGAGTTAACTGAATTCTGTATGCTCGCAAAATGCAAGCCTTTTTTTAAAAATGGTGCATAATGAGAGGCGATGAATACCCGGTTCTTGAGAACGATGTCTGGTAGACGTCTCAGGGTGCTCCACTACGCCTTCACGAACTCTCTTTATATTTTCCAGAGTACGAACAGTTCGAACACGGCAAGACCTTGTCAAGTCTTTAACGTCACCTATTTGTTCAAATTTCTGCACCAACTGATGAACGGTGTTGACACTGGGCACATTATTTCAACCGAAATCTTATCGTAGCTTCCAAATCTTTGCAACAATCGACTCATTCACTGGACAACAAATTTTAGTTTTTTAATTGTATCTTGTGGGAAAAGTGCACGTCTTTGTTAATTTTGGGGCGCTGAATCCAAAAATGACAATGAAATAAAAAAATTAGTTGCGGTTTAGAAAAAAAACTTTTTATTTTTATTTATTAAAAAAAGTAACAAAATTCATATACTTATAAGAATCACTATATGCGCTGTCTTTTTGCTGTTCTTTTATGGATCGTTTCTGGAGGATCTCTACCAAGAGTCCAACAGTAGTCTGCAAGCATGGAAGGATTCCACTTTCCCTGGTACCTGTTTTCCATTGTTGAAATATCCTGATGAAAACGTTCGCCGTGCTCATCACTTACGGCTCCGCAATTGTCAGGAAAAAAGTCCAGGTGTGAGTGTAGGAAATGTATCTTAAGAGACATATTACAGCCCATCTTTTGATACGATGACAGCATATTTTTGACAAGGGTTTTATAGTTGTCAGCTTTTCTATTTCCCAAGAAATTAGTGACCACCAGACGGAAATCATTCCAAGCAGTTTTTTCAATACCTGTTAAAGTGTTTTCAGACTGTGTATATTTCAAAATATTTCGAATCTGTGGCCCAACAAAAATACCTTCTTTAACCTTTGCCTCACTTAGTCTTGGAAATTTCTGACGCAGATATTGAAAAGCTGACCCATCTCTATCTAATGCCTTGACAAAGTTTTTCATTAGGCCAACTTGATATGCAGTGGTGGTAATAAAATTTTTTTCGAATCTACTAATGGCATATGCTGTACATTTTTTTGACCTGGCTCTAGGAATTGACAAACAGGCCAGTTTTGTCTGGTGTAATGAGGTGCCTTTGCCCGACTGTCCCATTCACACAAAACACCAAAACTTTGTGTAGCCTAGCTGCAGCCCAAGTAAAAGTGCAACAACTTTCAAATCGCCACAAATATGCCATTGGTGCTCATCGTATTTTATGCATGTCAATAGGTACTTCATATTGTCATATGATTCTTTCATGTGAACTGCATACCCTACAGAAAGAGATGGTAAAATATTTCCAATATGCAATAACACTGCCTTTAAACTCAATGTTGAACTGTCTATAAACAATCTCCATTCTTCTGGGTTATAGTTTATATTTAAAGCCGCCAGTAAGCCGTTAATGTTACTGCAGAAAACCAAGTTATTCTCCATATTGAAAAATGGTTCTAAGTCTTTGTGGCGTTTACGAAAAACACATACCGAAACATCGTCTTCTAACAAGTTCCACTGCTGCAGTCTTGATCCAAGTAACTCTGCCTTACATCTTGGAAGTTCTAAATCTCTTACAAGATCATTTAATTCTGACTGTGTTATTTTGTGCGGTTGGTGGCATGACGTGCTCGGTATAAAATCAGGATCTCTTAACGTTGATGGCATATCTTCTTCCTGACGAATCACTCGATCGCCATGATCTGATTCGTTTTCTGATTCGCAAGTGTAGGATTCTGGGGGTTTTGGAATAGGATTTTCGTCACTGTGAGGCACAGGTCTCATCGCAGATGGTATGTTTGGGTAGTTAATAACCGATTTTTTTTTCTTGGACATACCTGTGGCTTGTCCAACACAAGGTACCATGCAAAAGTAACAATCATTAATATGATTTGTAGGCTCTCTCCAAACCATTGGGACAGCAACGCGCATAGACCATTTAACCAGCTCCTCAGACTAGAAGCACATGTATTACAGCAGATGTGGGGTGCCCACTGTTTGTCTTGATCACCTAGTTTACAACCGAAATGAAGCTGATATGCCTTTGTTATTAGTGGAGCAATAGACCGTCTCTGAGACGCAAAAGTCACATCACCACACACGTAACAAAACTAATCTGGATTGTTTACACACTTTCGAGACATCTTGCATGAACGCTGTCAGCCAACTGAGGAAAAAATGGCTAATATAAAACAATATAATGTACACGTATGTATAACGTAACACAATCATGCCGATTACATCATCTTTCCTTGCCGAATATAAAAATGTAGCACGTGCATTCTTGTGAATTACAGTATATTAACACTGTCACAGCAGGAACACATATAATTACCGTATCTCTAAAACTTGAACTAATATTGAAAAAATAAGTTTCATTCCGGTTTTAGCACATTAAAAATAGTAATATTTTGTTGATTTTATTTAGGATATTTTTTGGCTGTTGATCAGTGAAGTAAAAACCTTTAAAAAACACGGACGCGTTGTGGGATCGTGTAGCGCTCCATGATGGATGGATGAATTGGACATATGTGCTTTAAACAACTACTACGGCGCCACCTACTGAAATGCGTGTATCAACAATGACGCGCAATTTTATCAATCAGTTATATATTGGCCACCCTGTATAAGATATCGCTTGAATATAATTTTGGATTGTTAAACATTGTTTTTATAATCATATTTTTAATAATATCTAAACTATAAATATGAGTTGACCATGTAGCTCCCCATGCCAATGAATGGTATAAGTTATAGAGAGATTTTTCTGTTAAAATGGTTTTCATATGTTTAACTTTTCACGAGATATATATATATATATATAACTTTTATTAAATGTATGAAATATGTACATCATAGAGAAGAGCTGTCCAGTTTCGAAAATAATTCCTTCAATTCGCACAGGATTCCTTGTAATTTCGATCCCTTTGATTCCGATTTTCGCAATTCCAAAGCACACTAACGGTAAAAATGTCGCGATTCCTTGACCCGAACTCAATGATTTCGAAACTAGCACTTACATCCACTCCATTGGGTTGATTTTTAGGTAGCTTAAAATAGCGCTTCTGTTAGGGAATTTAGATATTGTATTTTTTATTTTAATGGCTCTGGATGAAGATCTACGGTATGTAGTGTCACTGAGCTGTGGGTTGCCAACGAAGGGAATTACAGACTAAAACAGGTTGGAAGAAGTTTCGAGGGGATTAACTCACACCCTTTTACAAGTGCTATGCCGAATAGATGTTCATTCCCGATGTTCTATTGGATATAGTATAAGTTGGATTTTTTTTTGTTATTAGCATATTCAACCTAAACTGAAATCATCGGCATAGATTCTTTCGGGATGATCGGAATCGATTCCTTTAATTCCCCATGCCATATCGTTCCATTGGAACGACTCGTTCAGAATCAACCCGGTTCTAATATATGTACACTGAGAAATCGTAGTCAATTGAATGGGAAGAAATTTGAACAGTTATTTATGCAGCAACACTTAGGTCAATGAAGGGCATTTATTCCAAACATGTGCTCATCATATTCAATAATTATAATTAAATGGATTTACTTGGAGCAGGTAAGCTCGTCTTAATAAGTCATTAATTTTAAATAAATTGGTTCAATCAACCTAAGTGAACGGCTTATTCAATCCAATCAGAAGGAGGCTTTCTGATTTAATTAAACTAGTTTTAAAGATTCAAGTAGTCTGTCTTAGAAATTGGAATTTAATTAGCCTAATTAAACTAGTTGATTATTTTTTTTAAATGACCTAACTAAAATTTTAATTGGTTTAATTGAATTTTTACTCGGTGTACAGTGTAGATTCGTTTATTCGGTGCATATATACAATCTGTTGCAGGCGTGACGAGAAAATAAGGCAATTGTCTAGCTTAGCTA